TGTGCACTGAAGCACTCGATGCACGATGCTCTCTGACATTTTATACCATTCCTTAGAAAACACGGCCAATCAGAGTACTGGAAAGCCATTGTATATTCAATGGTATTACACCCAACCTTCCCATCGTGTGCCATGCTCATGTCCTACTGATTGTGTTAGCCACTGTATTTTCAATGGCATGGTATAAAACAGTTATGCAATGCAGCCTCGCGGTATACTATGGAATATTCCACTAGTCATTTGTATTGTCTTGGTATACACACTCGCCAAAAGGCTTGTGTGTATACCAAGGAATACAAGTGATGAGTGGGATACTTTCCATGATATACCACTTGAAAGCATTGAATGACTAGTATATACACAAAGTTTTTACGATAACGGCAGAAATTCTCGCGCGCTCATATTGGCTAATTTTCATCGTCAATATGTGGACAGACACATGAATTTATAATTTATGCGATGCGTCAACGTGCGAGAGCAGACAATTAAATCAGGTTTCTGTGGTTCAGAAGGTGTACACATTGCATAGCACAAATTATCTGCAGATGGGGTAAGCAAGTTGTTTGACTAGGTTAATGCTTGTCATCAGCGATACTTAGCACATTCCATTTCCTAAATGACCACTGTATCTGATGTGTGCCACCCTTATATTGACACCTTTAGCCCAAAATAACAAAGTCTTTTGTGGGTCTTGCATTAAAATCTACTCTAGAAGATTTCAGGATAGGGATAATATCCCCAAATCTTCCAAATTTTTTGATGTGAAAGTCAGAGATGTGGCCTCATGCATCTTCTTATGCTAGGACAAATGGTGATGATGGTGATGAAAAGTCAGTGATAATTAGAGCGGGTGACAGAAAGTATGCATTATTTGATGTAATAATTATATCAAACAAGAGGGACAGTGTTTCATCAGGATATCCAAACACTGAGAAGAGAGTTGAAAATACAACACACAGCAGAGTATTTTTTTATGAAATTTGAGGTGTTTGGATAATCAATGAAATGCTGTCTTAAGTGTTTGATATATCTTGTCAATTGCAACAAAAACTAAGGAGTAAACGGAGAAGTAAAATCGTCAAAATCTATGCCAATTAAGACCAGGTTCTTTGTGTTCACTTGATGAATTATTAATGAGTCTGAGAAGCACATTTACCAGCCACTATGCCAGTATTTCAAGTTGACCGTTTGAAATCATTGCAGTCCTCTGCATCCTTTTAACACCCCTGTTGGTTTTTTGGTTTACATTGCCTCTCACTTTCTCTACCTTGGTAAACCATTATTTGAGGTTTCAACATTTTAAAGCTAATTTTATGCATCATGAAAAACGACTGAGACTACTATGTTATAGCTTAAGCTCATAACAATGCAAACTACTGTAGGAATGCAGCATATTTATTTGAACTTCATAACAGTTGTAAAGTTTACATAGCTACAAGTTCACATGTCAAGAAGAAGTCAAAAATCAGTGCAACTGTGATGTGTGGAAATCTTCTTTTGATGTGAATTTGCTCACTAATATTTTTAACCAATCTTTTTGTTCTAATGGGTGTGTTACCATAAATTAACTGTTCATGTTAACAGCTCTATTTTCCAGGAAGAGCAAGGAAGAAGTGTCCCTCATACACTTCTTAAAGTGATCTTCTGAAAAATGGAGAGTGACTTATCAAATGTAATTCTACAAACAGGACTTCCCTATTTCCCACTATTGTACATTACTAAGTGCAACATTCTGAGTCCAATAATTATGTTATTATTGTCATGACAGAAAATTGAACAACTTTTTTTGTGTAGAAAACAAAAACCCTAAATACTGGTAACCTATAAAGGAAACTTCCATTGTACTGAAAATTAAATTAATTCAACCAAACCGTAAATATTTAATTGTTGCATTAATAACAGATACTTCCTGTATTCAGAATGTTTTTGTGGCTTTCAACCAGAGCCAGAAATTGTTACTTTTTAATGGTTTTGTCACAACTTTTTCTTTTTCCTTTCTTCACCGTACACCCTTACATAAGACATTTTGCTATTTACTTCTAAACTTATTTGACACCCTGTGTATTAATAGTCACATTTACGTTGATTTATTAAGTCTCTTGTTTTTGAACTGGACAGATAATGTAGTTTAATTTGCTTAGAGGATGCTTTTGCCCATGCTCTCTTTAAAAAAGGAGAAAATATTTTTAATCAAAAGCTACAGTTAAGCATTAATGTTTGAATGCCTACTGTGATGCTTTTGTGTATCATTCAGTTACCACATTTACTTAATTATAAGATAAATTTTTCAAGATTTACTTTATAAGATAAATTCTTCAGGATCATGCCATTAAAAAATGGCATTTTTTTCAATGTAAATTGCATAGGTCAATAAATGTGAAAACAATTGGGTTAGTATATCACCATTGTGGTGTAGAAGTGACCATAAACAAAAAACATTCATTTAGTCAGACGATTCTTCCAAGTTGCATTATTAAAAAATGCATTTCTAACAGCCACGATCTGAAAATCTAAGAGCTGAAAGGTTTATGATCTTTGGTTATGGTTTAGTTTTAGTTGCTTTTAATAGAAATTGATATTAATAATAAATTTCAACTTACTGTTTTCAAAAATATTGTCTTTGAGCTCAAAGTTTCATTTTGTCAGATTGTTTAGTATTCCCATAAAGTGTTCTTTCCCAGCTCTTTTCCTGTGGCGGTAAAGGATCCATTCTGATGACCCTGAATGTAGTCTCCATTAGGTGCTCTTATTGCCATTCTGTTGTACTTGGGCAGCTCAATACTGAACTCTTGAGCCTCACTTTCATCTTTTGACAACACTATGTTATTCTTATCATCAGTGCTCCAGAACTTTCCAGCGTCAGTACTGATCTTGTACATGCCATTCTTGCATGTCACGTTGAAGACGTGGAATTTAGCGTAATTACTCTCAATTTTATCCGTTCCAGCTTTGACTCCAACAAAGCCATGGTCACCGCGGAGCACCAGCATTGGTCGGTTGACTAGCTCAACAGTGTGAAATGCTCTCTCTGGATCAATTTCGTCGCTGCCTTCAATCAGATGGCCATTGTCCTTTCCCGTGATGTACTTTCCAGTATGCGCCTTGAACACTATCTGTTTACCATGCCACTCGAGCTCAAACCAGCAATTAGGCCCAGGAGTGTCTGCTGATGCCGTCACACCAGAGTCTCCCAGAGCCCAATACTTGCCCTTGGTTCCACGTATTGCCACTTTCGCCTTGTCACTGGCCTTGTCAAATTCCAGCTGGAAGATCTCTGTGTCTTCCATTTCATCACGGCGACTTAGTATCACGTCCATGCCTAAGAGGACAAGGAACAGAAGGTATAATGTAAATGTCTCTTTAATCTAATCTTAGTATGATCTGACACAATATTTAAACGAGTCATTACAATATATCCGGGATCAACATTTTCACCTAGTCAATGGGTTTTGAGCCTTACAAGTGTTCCTTTGTTGTGCTTTTGAGGAAACACTCTCCCCACTGGCAAATTATTTGACATAATTAGAGGGGATGGGGATTGTTGCCTGCAACACATTAGAAACACACCTGGTGACTTGTCTGTGTGCTAAATACTTTATTAACGACAAACATTTATGTATGTGGGGAGGTCATCGCCCCAGCAGGGGAGGGGTAGGGCTTGACGAAAAACAAAAAGATGGGAACGTGCAAATAAGGACAATGTGATTCTTGGAGAACCTGACATGACCAGGCCTATACTGGAAAAAAATGATGACCCTAAAAAAAAAGGCATCAATTCCAAACTCCTGAAAAATCCTTCGAGACTCCCTGTCAATATGGATACCCCTGGGCCAAGAGAAAAAGCTGTAGCCATTGCAGTGACTACGCCTTCATGGAAATACCAAGTTCTTCGAAAAGGAATCATACAGAATCATTAAGAAAATCAGGGGGAAAGGGAGAGAGGATGATCGCCAGACCCTCTGAAGTTTTTCTTAAGACAAACCGGTACAGTCTCAAAAGAGTAGGATGAAAGACAAATTTCATTGTTTGCCAAGAGTTGGATAAAGCCAATACAATATTTTCCTTTCTGTTTTATTTAGTCTTAGCTTTCTTTTCATGTGCTGAAACTGTTTTGTAACTGTTTTTATATAAAAATAATTGTGGATTTAATTTGAAACGGAAAAAGTGTCACAAGATCTGATATCATAACACATAACATCATATCATATTTTATTTTTGTACTAAGGTATTATTCTTGTATTGAGGTAAGCCATGATCACATTCCAATTCTGCCATATCGTCAATGTTATTATCAAAGCAACGTGGTTTTACCAAACTGTAAGTCGAGCACACCGTACATTACAAGATAACTAATATTAATATTGCAATTCGTAATATAGTCGGAACTTGAACGGACTTGTACTGTAATTTTTTTTAATCAATTTTATTTGTTTGCTTCAAGACACCTTTCAGTACAAACGTTATCGTGTATTATCATAAACCGCAAGACATTATTATTTAATCTGCGGTTCAATGATTGATTAAAAGCTTCAGATTTATCGCACCAGCATTGTTACTGATGTATTTCCTTTTAAGGTAAAGAAATTTGGAGGAATTTAGGAAAACACTTGCAGTTCTGAGAGGCCAAAGAATACACAGTAATCAATTCATTTGCCTTTAAATTTGTCATCGCTCGCTTTTTATCTAGTTAGTTTATCGGCAATTATGTGAAACTTTTACTTTTCACTTGTTTAGTGTCATCACTGTTATGTTGGTTTGTCGGTCGAGTACACTTCAGAAATGTTTCGGGAAGATTTTGATACAATCAACAGTCAATTTATCGAGCGAAACATCAAATGAATTAAAAACAGGAATGCGAAAAAAAAAATTGTTGTGACGCTGCTCGGGTTAAAGGTTAGTTGGTTTGGCGAGAAAATAGGAAATTTTAGACTCAAAACTGTGCGCAACAAAACTGATCGTTGAAAACCAACTGTTATAGGTGAAACCAGTCGAGTGATCGATGCATGCTCGATCGCGCGCGATGTCTGTAATTGAAATTGAAATTGAAAAGAGATTCCGTGACCAATAACCTTATGATCGAACGCTCGTTCAATATAGTCTACTGGCGCTATGTTCATCAGCTGATTCCATTGTGCACGGAAATTCTTGTCAAGTTTGCAGCAACTCGCCCATGTCCAGTCTTAATCCTTGCCTAGGCTTGTTTCCTTACCGGAGTCATAATTGTTTTTTCATACTTTATTCACGGATGAATGCTCCGAGGCTTTTTAAAACTCCATTCTAATTATTATGTACACAGTTGCGTCAACTTCGCCGCGTGGAACTCGGTAGGAAACCCTATCTTGCTGATTCTTTGTCTTCAGCCTTGACCCAGTTTAGGTTCTGTGATATTCGTTTACAGAGATCAATTATTCTTGGAAGACCTATAAGGGTGATCGCTATTATTCTTAATATTTCGTTCATAAACTGGCGTTCGCTTTGTTCTACGAGACGCGCTACGTTGCACGTGCTTAAGTTTATCGATTGTAAATCCATTTATCTTGGCCTTTCAGTGCAGCCACCACAACAAACAAATTGAGGGCTTAACACAAAGCGTCTTCAAACCTGTTGATTTATCCGCAAACACGAGAGAATTTGCATTTTAGTGAATGAAATCTCGAACCACGTCGATACTATCAACGACTCTCCGACCTCGGTAAAAGTTTGGTATTTGTACAATAAATAAAGCGAGTTTAGTCGAGGAGAAAATCAAAACAACCTTGTGTTGTACATGCATACCTTGGTGAATCGACAGCCGTCGGTCTTTCTGCCCGATGAAAGAAACCTGCGGTGGGCTATCTTGAATAATAAACAGCTCGTCTTTACCGACGGTGGTGTTTTTGCCGGCCTGAATTTTACCCGTTCCCACAGCCGCGAGGTAATTGCCTTTGTCCGTTCTGAAGGCCACCTCCCCCTCGTGGAACTCGATGGTGAAGAGACTCTTTTTTCCGGGGTCCTCGTGAAGCGAGCCGTCGCTGTTTAGGTACATTTTATTGCTCGTCACAAAAGCGTACTTTCCTTGGTTTGCGTCGAACTCCAGCGTTAACATTGCGTCCGCTCCCCACGGAATGATCTCAGTGGCTTCTATAGTCTCGGTTTTGGTGTTGAGATGCGCGTAGCGTGTTCTTCTACAGCTCATAACGTTGACTTGCGGGTGCATGGCCAGTTGAATAGACCACAGCTCTGTGTCGGATATCTTAGCCTCGCATTTTAGCTGATCACCCGAGCCGCCAAAGTAAGCGTTGTATACGCTTTTCACGGCCCATTTTCCAGACGCTTGTGTTTCGACCGTGAACTTCGTTTCCTCGCTCCGTTCTTCTTCTTCGCACTTTACGTTTCCTTTCCGATCCGCAGATAGGTATCTGTTCAAGTGACTCCTGAAGTAGCAGATTTGCGTGCCCTCGTCCTGCTCAAGCGTCCACATTTGCTTCTTCCTCAGCGAAGTTCCGTCCACGTTCAGCTTGAAACCGAACGTCTCCAGCGTGAGGTATTTCTTTGTGGCGTGGTTTAAAAGCCCGAGATTCCATTTTAACGTCTTGGGAGCCATGATAGTCTCTTTTCGATTAGAGGAGCCTTATACACTGCGGCGAGAAACGGTTTGCGATTATCCAACCGTGGCCGAAAGGACGAACGAAAATCAGCAAGCGATCAAAAAACGCGCTCGAGCAAGAGTTAAGGCGTGTAATGACCAGCAGCTACAATTGTGGTATAAATGTACAGCTATGTGAATATGAGGAGCCAGGCCTGCAGGAAATGAGAGGGGTAACACCCTCTGACTGCGTGGCCTGTCAATGTAATAAAGCCATTTAATTTGTCGAGCTCTTGTCATGTTATGCATCATTTATTGTGACAACATGTGGTCGGAGAGATTCTACTCATATAGTTGATCCCTTTTTTCGACGAGCAAAACCGTGGTCAGTTTGTTTTCGTTCTAGAATAGCTAGCTTTTTATCCTTTAAACCTGTGGTTGGGACTTCAAAAGCCCTCGTAAATCCTTTTGGCTTCCGTCGACGCGGCAACGCCCGTTTCATTTTCATTCTCAAGATCACGCACACAGGGGCGGACAAGAGACAACGCATCAGACGCTGCTGAGTGCTGCTCACTGCCGACAGATGGCTTTATCAATGACTTTTCCAATGACAGGTCTTGAATTATAGCCATCAGAAGTCACGAACTACTAATAATTCAGGAATATCACTTTGAGTTCGTTACTGCGTTATCTTAATTGTACACCCCGGGGACACTGTTAACTCTTTGTGTTGGTCTGTTTATGCCAGTTCGTTTAATATATGTTTCATCCTTTGGTTCAGTTTACATAATTTGCGACAGAAGTCTCTCAACATCTGCGTGTTTATTTTTTACTTTATTTTTTTTTTTAATAGTCTTCATAAAAAACCGTATTCAAATAGTTATAGTCATAATCTGATATCAGTTACATACTCTTTTACGATTTAAAATTAAAGAGCTTCGGCCCTCTAGTAACATGATACAACCTCGAACGTGTTCTCGGATGATGTTTGTTTTGAAAACATTAATTTGCCGACGTTTTCATTTTTACCACAAAAGGTAATGTTTTTACTCAAATTCCGAGAGGGGGGGGGGNGGGGGCGGTGGTACGTCTCGATACATCTAAGGATCGAGGCCTCGTTCAGTTACGCCGGGAATTTTCCTGGTTTGACTTCCTTTAGATACTTCTGTTTTGTAACCAATAAGGTTTTGTCCCGTCTGCGATCCTTTCTTTCCTGTTCAAACAATCCATCGCTGATTTTATCACAGCTCTTGGCGTTTACACAGGTTGTCAAAATTGCCATCGGTTGAATTGGCAACCGTGCGGTTTTGTTTGCTGGTAACGTGGCGACACTTTAGTGACCCGACTTCAATCTCTTTGTCTGGATATCCGTGCATTGTTCAGCTGGGGAAGTGGTTGGCTTTGTGTATGTTGGACTTCAAAAGCGAAAGAGAAACACTACGATATTCAAATCACGTGCGTGCTATATCGTTTTATGCTTTTACCGATCGAAGTTTGTGGGAACAAAACTGAATAATTTTTGCCCACGATTCATCATTTGGTTTCTTTTTGCTCTGTGGCAGCCTTTTCCTCGCTAATTCCCTGAACCTGCTTGTCTATCTCCTATATCTGCTGTATTTAAATGATCGGAAAGGTTACAAATTCCAGTGTTTGACGGCCATTAAAGAAGATTAAAATGTCAAGCGCTGACCCTGCCATAACGTAACCGCTGAATTGTTTTACAGTTACGCTGCATGAGTAATCTTTTGAGGTTAAAATAAGTTTCAATTTGGGTGTACATGTCAGAAGACCCACTTAATACGCGCACCTGGTGAGGCTTTCGGTCTTTTCCGCTGGAAGTTTGTTATCGCAGTAAAAGAATCAACTGATAAGCGTTTTCGAGAGAGTATCGACGGCGATAAGAGACTATTGCCTAGCCAACACTAAACTTTTACTAAGGTCCTGAAAAAACAAAGCGAGAGAGCTTTGTTTGTAGTACATATTACTCTGCTAGGAAAAAATATACCTACATGCAATAACGCGACTTAGAATTATCTGCTTTTGTACTTAACAACAGCTGTCAAAAACTCGTCAACAATCGCTGACACTAAAAAAAATTACTGAAAAGAGTTCTTACATATATTTAACGGGAAACTAAACTTTTTGTAATTGGAGTTGGGGAACAATTCCATTCTGAAGAGCCTTGACAGTATTTAGATTAAACACGTTACTGGTTACTGTGGTATATTCGAGAATTGATAAAAGAAGGAGCTCTGCGTAGACGAAGTTGAAACTTGTCAAAACGGGATAAACGATTTTAAGCCGAAGTAGTTCCCTTGTAAAAGTGCGGTTTGTGAATTGTTTACGAATTCCTCTAATGGTTCCTGAATTTAGTTCTGTTTATCAGTGTTTGCAAAAGAAGACTATTTTAATTTGTATGCGAGGGAGTGAAAGTTGGTTCATTTGTTCAGCTGAAGACTCGCTCACGTGGAGTGAATATATTGAAGTAAAAAGTGATTCATATTAATGATAGCAGTGACAAAAAAAGAACGTGGCAATAAAACCGTATTATGTTAGTTACACTTTTTTATAAGAGTATATTTTACAAGAATATCGAGGCTGAAATTTGCGAAATTTTAAAGAACATTTTAAGAATATACTCGAGGCTGAGATCTTGAAAAGAATAAATTTGTTTGTGTTGACATTACAATTAGATGCGTTTAACTCAACCGTAAAAATTCTTCCTTTCTCTAAACGGCGAAAAAAGCAACAAAAACAGAATTACCGTATGTTCAATGCTGATAACATTTCTACAAGAAGTTATGTGTCTCATATCAGGCTTTATTGCCTGCAGGCTGGCTCCAAAATTACCATCCACGAGACACCAAACGCTTGTAATTTATACCCCAATACACTCCAAAATGGAAATGTCAAACGCTGTAATGTAAGAATATTCGCAAGAATATTTTCAGCCTAAAATTGGTAGATAAAAAAAATTAAATTTTCAGCCAAGGTCAGAAAAACAATATTCCCATAAAAAAGAGTGTATTCCACGCCGTTTAAGTGGCTTCAGGACTTGTAGAACAAATAATTCGATTTAAAAAAACCCTAATGGTGACTCCGCTTCAGCTGGTAGATGACTTTATTACCGCGGCGTCAGTGGCAATTAAGCCTCTACTTTCAAGTCTTTCAACACACCTGTGGAGATAAAAGAGGTAACCAATGGGAAAACCCTTAACGTAGAATAAAATCTCGTGACGAGAATATGAATGTTGATATAATGACTTATCAAGTTAATATGGGAGACAATTGGAAATTCAAAGGGGCTGGCGCTAGTTAGTTAATAGTCTCCTTCGCAACCGTGATTAGGGTTGTCGCGAAACGCTTCTCCCCACTTTACTATTTCATCGACGAATAGTCGTTTACGCCCCGGAGATAGGCCCGTTGAGTCACAGGTATCCACCTTGCATACTTTTAGAACATGTCAGATCTGACGATGTGAACGCCTTTCCTCAAACCGGACTGAGTTGGAAGTTCTGTGGTTTCTTTGGTTTACCGTAGTACTTTCTGGTATAAACGCAAAGGAAGGTACACAAGCTTACGTGGGAGCATCCCACCTTAATTGCACAAATCCATACATCGAACCATATCTTGCTGAAGGGATGTGCTCATGTGTGTGGGCGCGGACCCGGGAGTGGGGCCGGGGACTCTTCGTGTCGCAGGCACAGAATTTAGAACAGTAGGAGTCTTCGCCTGCCTAGTAGTCCATAACTCTCGGAGCTTTTTCTGGTTTCTATATCATGAGGCGACCAGGAGTATTTCTACTCTACCTTGGTTGGGATGCTAGTCCATTGGGTTTCCCTAACAGTTTGCCGGTAATTATTTATGCTCCCGGGTAGAGAGAGGCACTCAGGTTTGATCACCAGCCGAGTAAGCGGCGGAAATCGAGCCTAAGAGGCACTGTAAGTCTTTTCTCAAGAACACAACACAGTGACCCGAACCGGGACACAATCCGTAGTTTTAACCCGCTAACCACGCGGGATTAACAGAGTGACCTGGCAATTTTTTTAAAACTACTTATTTGGCTTTGTTGTATTAGTTAAAGAACTAAGAGCCAGGATCCGACAGCAGATCCGACTGTCCGAAAGCCGATTAGCTCTTTAATCCGAACAAAAAGTCGCCCAGGTGTTTTTTCCCCTTATTTTAAGGAGGTTTTTACCAACTGCTGCTTCACAGTTTTACTTAGTCTAAAGTTCAGTACAAATGTTGGAGGAAAACATGACACAAATCATTGTTAGTGCTTTCAATATTGAATTCAGTGGCGGGCATAGACGGTAATCCTGGATAACCTTTACTAACAACCAGACCCTGGCTGATCTTATCTTGTAATTCAAATGAATTGGTGTCCTCCAATCGTACCATTAATACTCGTGCTTTAAATGTTATCGTTTTTATCGCAAGGTCACAAACACTCCGAGACATTAACTATCCGTTCACTCACGATACTCTGATTTTACGGTCGTTTGATAAGTATTTAAATATGTGCGACTGTTATCTTTCGCGTTTGTCTTTCCTGACTTACTGCACCGATTATCAACTCGCAAGCACATTATACATCAGTAGTAATGTCTCTCTGTTCGATGGATGGAACAATTCGTCTCGCCCATTGCAGCGAGTCATGTTTATCTGCAGGTTAGGCATGTTTCTAAAGCTGAATGCAAGCAAGAAATGATACACTTAAATAAAACTGTTGGAGCGATCTGTGCTCATAGTTCTTTAAAAAGAGAGAGACAATTTTACTTTTTAGATCTGTTTTAAACGTTTTTTAAAGAATGATATACTTGTCATATTCTTCTAGAATGATAAATATCTTATGTGCTATATTTTGCTGACAATATGCCTGGAATGTACATGGTATGCAACGGAGTGGGGCCGACCATGTTTCATGCATTAAAGACAGTCAAACTGCGATGTACATTGACAAATTGATGGCCCATCACGGGATAACGCTTCAAAGGGGTCAGCCTCTGACATGATAGTGAGGGGTGATGTTCGAAAGCTTGAGGAGTTAACTAGAGGCAGCAGGGAAACGCGTAGTTTTTGATTGAACCTGTTTGCAGTAAAATAAAAAAAAGACGGGGATGTGCGAAGTCCTTCGTGGCCTGTATCGCTCTCTCGGCCCCGTATCGAGCAAAACTATCAGGTCCTATACTAAAGGTAATGCCAGAGCATCGATCAATTCGTACCAATTATTTGATAAAACTCCGTCAACAGCAACGCTTAAGGTCGGGACACACTGGGAGACATGTTGCAGGGAACAGGTTGCAGCGACAAGTTGCAGCAACAGTCTTCTTCGTGTGACATGCCCGTTTTCTTAATTTGCGAATTAAAGGTCTGTTGCGGGGAAAAACTTTTGTCCCCGTCACATGTCGCATGAAATTCAGCTGGTTAGAATTCGTGCGTCATGAAGCCGGAACAAAATGACCTCAACTGATTTTCAATGTCGCATCGTGTGCTCGGCTCTGCAAACTCTCTCCGCTACAACACATTGTTATGCCTCAATCCGTTCCCTGTGCACCAGCTTGCGGGCATACTATCCCTGCAACATACCTCCTATGTGTACTCTCGATGGGGCTAGTCCCTGCTTCACATACCTGCAACACGTACTGACTACCCTACAGAAATAGCACACTCGACTGTGCATGTGGCTAGTGCTTTTACAACGGCTTTTAGCGTGCTATTGTCGAGACTCCCAAACGACCAATCGGCCGGGACTGCTTTGAAAATGTTTAATTTTCAGGCGAGAAGAGGTGAAGGTTATGAAGGTTAGACTGATACATGTAGCTTTAGAGCTTTCTTTAGATGAAAACAGCAATAAAGCTAAAATCAAGTTAAAAATAAAGTAGAGAAGACGTTTTACATTTGCAGCATAACTGAATTAAACTTAAAACGTTTTATTACGAGTCGACGTGTTTAAATACGTGTATTACTCACTTTTTAAGAGTCAGTTCGCTCAGCCTGAAAATATTCACATTTTCCAAAAGGCACAACTTGTTTGGATGGGCTTCGCAAAAATCTAACTTCAAATTTAATTTATTTTATTTCGTTACGAACAATATTTGCGAAACGATAACTTTAATCTTTTAAAAGATGCGTCATCTTTCTTTTAGTAATGGCAAGACGATTTTATTCCAACTTGCATCCCATCGAGTCCTTTGAAAACGTGCTAGATTTTCTCTGTAACTTGTGAGTAATGGTTTGCTAACGGGAAAGCCACGAAAGAGTTTCTGAAAAAGAAACAGACAACGAAAGAAATAAGGCTAGGAAAAGATAATCCGAGTCATCGCACTACATTTTCCCAAAACTTTTACTCTCTTCTCTTTCAAACACTATTCGTCTTGAATAAGACCCGTTAAAAATGATACTTATTCTTCACGATGGTCTCCTTTGGGTAACACCAATTTCACAGCAGATTTACTTCCTGTGTTTAGTTCAAGAGACACAAGTGTAAAATAGATCCTATCGGGGATATCAATCAACGTGTTGACCAAAACAGACAACACCTAATTGAGAAGCTTACCTTAAGTTGCTGAGCTAGCTCTTTACTGTCATGGAAAATCAACCCATTGTCCTCATGTTTTACCAACTCATGCAGGCTGTAAAAGTTAATATGAAAATTGCTAAGCTGACTTTTAATCATATCACTGTCAGTTTCTGTAAATACCGTCTTTAAAAGTCAAATTTTGACCAAGTCAGTAACTACGACCTACATGTAGGAGTTATTGGGAGCTTCCCTTTTCTCAGTAACGGCTGTTCTAACTAGATTTGCAATACATGCCGGTCCTTAACAATTGCACTCAGCTCTTTGCTGAGAAAATTTAAGTCTCCAGTGAAATGGCTACCCTTACCATAACCTTAATTTCAATTTCGTAGCCTATAACTGCAAGTTGATGAGCTGCCGTTTAGTCTTGGCTATGTTAGTTTGCAACGTATCAAGAGGAAATCTGTATATCTCGATACTACTATATTTCAGGTCACACAATGTAATTTCCCAAACTAAATGCACTTTATCAAGACAACGTTTTGCGTAAAATAGCACCTGATATACTTTACTTACTTACCATTCAAAGTGTATAGCACACACTGGTAAGCCACAGCCGAACATGTCTACCACCTGACATGAAAACAAAATTCATCTTCACCGTAGATCTTGATGTACACAAAGATTGATCAAAGAATGAAGAAGCCTGAACATTGAAGCATTGCTGACAAAATTGACTGACTAACCTTCATGGGTAAGTCAAGTCCTGATGAAGACTTGTGAAGACACACACCAAGGTCAGCTGAACCTGAAGGTAAATACGTATACCATGTTGATCTTGGCATTATAATAAAAGTAGTGACGTTAATCTTTTAATGTTCTTTAATCTTTTCTTTGGGCTCCACAGCAAACTTAACAGAAAGGTAACTGTACACATCATTGTACTTGTAAAATACAGTGCTTTACGTACAGCAGCTAACACAACTCGAAATTTTCACTATTTTTTAATGAACTGGGTTTATTTCTTTATCTCAAAAGTACAGTTTTACTGTGTTGAAGCAATAACACTTACCAAGAAGCCTTGGATAGTCCTCTGGCTCTAGCCATGGTGTGCAGATTTTTACATGCTTAAAGTTCTTTGTACTGATAATTGTTTGATAATACTCCTTTAATGGTCCTTTGCCTAGGAACACAAAGCAAACACAGAGCAGTGTGGTCAGCCTTTTATCCATGTTACACAATTAATAAAGTAATGTGATTTGCTCTGCACTTATATTGTACTTACCAGTTATTGCACAAACTAATGAGGGAAGAGCTTCTTGGTCCTCAGTGATAAATTTCTCGTATGCTGTTTCAGAACAAAAGGACAGATTCCATAAATAATAGGCTTGATTTCTGCCGCTCTCTCATGTCTGGTCTACGTTCCTCCCTGGCTTTGGGGGAGGAGTCTGGGTTCCTTTCCCAAACAGTGGCTGGTAATTGAGCCTACGTAAATAAACTAGTTGAAAAGTTGTCCTAGTTATTTGAGCTAGGAGCCTGATTATTCATGAACACAAGTACTGGTCAAGTGGTTAGCCAGGATTTGAAAACTGGAAGACCAATGTTTTCAATGGGGATGATTAAAGCCAACAATTTAGCCAGCAGTATGGAAAGAATAAATTATCTGAAAAAAATTATCTGGACCCATTGGCCTCCACAGTGAGCACCCATTTGGTTTAAAGCCTGTTATCTTTAACATGAAGTAATTAGGGCTATCAGTATCCCCCTGGATGGGAGCATTTCTTTGAGAAAAGTGAAAGTCTTCATTTTCTTGCCTCAAAACAGATCAAGAGTTTTGCAAGTTCTTGTTTCTTACCTTCAAGAGCATCCAGTAAGATGGAGAAGTCTTCATCCTCTGCAAAAATTAGAGGCAAATAATTTTTGTGTTAAAACAACAGAACATTGCAATCAATGTAAGCATCCAATGAAGAAGTGCTAAAGTATCTTTAGTAAAATTAGAATTTGTAATATGTGTGTAAAGACACAACATCACAGTCAGTGTAAAAATCAATTAATTTTGTACATTGTAATATTTTGTGGTACTAGTACTTTACATTTAAGAAACAAATTGTTACAATGCTGTGGCAATGTGTATGCAGTGGTTGCACTGTACATGTGCAAAATAGTGAGAGGAGAATGGAACTTAAATCAAGGACAATCCAGATTCCAAGTTCACTTCTCCAACTACATGTTCTTGGCCATGCCACCTCCACAAACTGGACTTGAGCATCTCTCAGTCTTCATAAAGCAGTTTCAGGATTGATGAAACTGTTGTAATTTTTTGTCAAATTTTACCTGTCCAGCTTGTACTGCTGACCAGAAGAGCAGACCGATTTTGTCTGTAAAGAATTCTTCCATCTTTTAACTGAAGTGTAAATGCCGTCATGGACTCAACATCTGTCTTGTATTCTGAAGGGCTTGCAAAGGGAAATATACTTGTTAATGAGATACGATAAAATGGCCACCACACTTTTGTCAACTATAACGATAGCCTTACGGTTAGAAATGCAAACCTTGTTACCTTTCTGTTGTACTGAAAACTTCATATTCCTTGGAAAGTTTTTGAAAAAGCTGGAAAATAATGTCAAAAATGGTAATGAGTGATGCAGCTCATTATTTACATAAAAGTAATATATATTTATGGACATTGAATTGAAGTACATGTACGTGTACACTGGTTTGTAGAAGTCTTTGTTACTATGTGTAGCAATATGCTTTTCAACAGAACATGAACAACTGGTGACAACAATCAAAGAGTGAGTCAATCAATGAAAATAAAACTACATGAACTGATATTATGCAATCATTCTAGACTGCTACAATGTAACTGGATTGTTGTGCAGTCTAGTAACCTTTTTACATTAAGACCTTAGTAGCTGAAGGTAGCTAAAGCTCAGGTGTACAAATGTATATTCTAATCCAGAGCCCACAGCTTACATGTAGCTTTGTGAAAATTCATTATGTTTATATTGTGCTAATTACAAAGAGTGTAATAAAGTCTCTATTTCCTATTGGAGATAAAATGTTTAACTCCAGTATAACAGACCTTGTGTTGAGTAGAAAGGTCCATTTCATGAAACCGTGATGGAGGCCTGTCATACAGTGTGTGGGCTCTAAACAGAAATGGTGATTCAGTCCTCACTAGATAATACATGAAAATAGTAAAATTATTGTTTTCAGAATTGTGCTATTGTGAAGTATATGACTGAATTTCATGTAGTCCCAGTTCCAAACTGTTCCAAACCAGCATACCTGTATTTTAGATCTACCAACTGCTATATTTATTTATGATAACAACTTCTGCTACTTAAAGTGCCACTATGATGAAATTCTCGATATCCATTTCTTTACATTTTGGTACACATTAGGTCTTTCCTAGATATCTTGCCAAATTTCAATTTTCTACAAACATTAAAACTCGTGGTTTTTGGACCTTAATTTGCGAGAATTTACGGCTGCCATTAATTTTCCTTGTTCCAAGTCTTGGTTGAAAATTTGAGAAAATGACGTCATTTTCTCAAAAATAGCGCACGGATTGAGATTATGATAACAATTAATGTAAAAAATTGCACAAATATATGAGCCAAAGTTTTTGTTACCCTTTATGCGAATTGCTGTGCTAATTGTTATTATCATTTCAACCTGTGTGGTATTTTTGAGAAAATGATGTCATTTTCTCAAATTCTCAACCAAGACTTGGAACAAGGAAAATTAATGGCAGCCGTAAGTTCTTGGAAATAAAGGTCCAAACGACATGAGTTCTAATGTTCGTAATAGATTGAAATTTGGCAAGAAATCTAGGAAAGACCTATTTTGTGTGAAAATGTAAAAAAATGGGTATGGAGAATTTGATCATAGTGGCACTTTAAGGGTGTTAATTTCAGGAATGTGATGTACATACAGTATTACCAGTATGACAAACACTACACTACACAAAAATGCAAATGACTGTGAACATTTCCTAAGATGTCAGAGTAAAATTCATATCCTCTCACTGAAAAACGTCAAGCGTGTAATTTGTGAACATACTTGTATTTGTAACGCAAGGCAGTCACCCCACAATGTGTCATGTTTGCTTAGTTTATGACCTCACCTGATTCCCCAGTGTTCCCATAAATCTCTCTTCATTGCCTGAGTTACACACAGATTACTTGATGACATGCCACCAAAAAAGAATTCATACCTGCAAACAAAAAATGTGTCAGTGACCAGTAATAAATACATCATTCATATCATACCAAGAGGGTATACAGGCACTATATATTATTAGTGAAATGGGTTCCCAGGGGATAAGTACAGAGTAGAAGGAGGACTCGAGGGCATCCTAGGTTTCCTGTACATGTACATTGCAGGGAGTCAGAGTATAATATGGCTTATTCCCAAGGACACTGTATAATTTGCATAGACATAGAGGAGGTAATGGCCACTGGTTCATCCCATTGGGTGGAAACAAACAAGAATTAAAATGTAGTGCTAAATGGGATCTTCATTTGCTTTGTAGTAATTAACTTAATTATCCACAGTAATTACAGTTTAGTTTTTTAACTACGTTAGTCAGGGTCATTTCTGGTCAATTCTAGAATGTTAAGCCAGCTTTTAGAAAAATACATGTACAGGTAACATCTCCTTTATGGACAGAAATTTATTAAAAATGCTGACCATTGCTTAAAGATATACACCTCTTCTTTTGCCAGTCAGAAACCTACCATTTAGCTATCTTCACCAGCAGATGTTGGGGATTTTTCACTCCAAGAGCCAGTATAGTAAAACCATAGTTGTGCCAGTCAATAACAAATTGGCTGCCACACAACAGACTTGTAAACCAGGCTGCTGCCAAGGATGGAATAGCTGGAGGATTCTGATATAAATATATGAAAATTCTAGATCTGAATCTTATGGATTTATAAAATACTTAATTATTTCAGCAGCTCTGTGTTGGTTTGGGTACACAGTTTTGGGCTACTTTTTTTTAATTACAACTCAAACTACCTCCTGCCCCATCCACACATGCACCTCACAAACAAAACTATTATGTTCAAGTGCTGTAAATTAAATGCTAATGTCAAATCAAACTGCTTAATTAAATACATGTGTGCATATTTGTACTACTTAAATCAACAAGTTATTTTAAATAGCATTCAGCACTTTGGAATTTAATTACATTGTATATATTAGTGCTATACAAATTTATTCATGTTAAAATATTGCATTGCAATAAGCACGTGCACATTTTTGCTACACAAATGAGAATACCGGTAGTTCATATAGTGTGATAGTCCACCTGAGGGTAGTTCTGAAAAGAACTGTTGCTGGATGGACTGATGTTTGATTGGTCTATTGTTAGTCAAATTAAGTTGGTCTGTTAGAGGTCCATTTGCCAGTTTCATTTATGTCGTGAATTACTCATTTGTAAGGTGCCAGTAGTTGTTAAGAGGCATTTGTTCTAAGTTAGTGTACCAGCTTTCCAGAGTCAGACACTGAAAATAGTTTGTACTGTAGGTTGAGCACTGAGCAGAGTCCCAGGCAATGCTGTGGTTTGTTAGTTAATGATGTACAGCAATGTGATTGTAGACATCACACTTTCTCGTGGCTTATTTGTGTTCAGTCAGTCTCATGTTAAGGTTTCTGCCAGTCTTACCAATGTAGGAAGCCTGGCAGTTGGAGCATTTGATCTTGACATAAGAATATCACAATAGGCTGTCACTCACCTGAACTAATATATGTGTGCACTGTGATCCACAGTGAAGAAGAATTACAAAGAGCTGTAGAAACTGGATGATTGCTTTTGTAACATAAAATAGCAGTCTGGGCAAACCTATAATGAAAAAATAAAAATTACTAATGGAAAATGCATTTTTAAAACTGTTAATCTGTTCATTTTTATTAAGAAATTCAGTTCTAATCCAGACAAGAAAAGTACTCAATTCAAAGCCATTATCAGTTGCTACCTTGGGCAGTTTCTAAGTTCAAAATTTGAAAATTTGCACAGGATGCTATTGCCTTGCAGTTGCAGTGGGCCCTGCCAGGTGTATGTACATGTTCTAGGTACCCACTTGAAAGCATGCTCTATGCTCTCCAAGCCAAGGAGAAAACAGACAGAGTTTTAAAACTTTAAATCCACAAATGATCCCTGAGCAGCAAAACAAAAACACTACATTGTTTGTTATGTAACTTATGTAACTTATAATATATTCATTGAAAGCAGTTCAGGACTTCAGGAGTGATTCATCATTTTATTGCTACAGTCCTGTTTTGTATGGTTAAAGAGTGACCACACTCATCAGGCAACATCAACAAATGACCCGTAAATTTAAATGCTGGTGGTGAATCACTCCTAAAGTCCTCAACTGGTTAAAATGAATAGACGCTTCTCTAGGAGTTCTGCTTACCTCTAAACAATTCTGGAAATTCTGGCAATGTATTTATGGTGACTTTTTCACTTTCTGCTAGTTCCTTGATGGGATTGGATCCTGAATAATGATTTAAATACATGAAGTGAAAGAACACAAAAAATTACCAATCAAAATTGTAAAAAAGTGACAAAAAGAAGTAAGAATTTTCCTTCTAAAAGAAACTTTTCAAAGAATAGAATACTGCTAGGGAAATATAATTGTTTAGCATTATCATCTGCTTTATTTGTAGTAACCCTTGTATTGTATAGTCAATTGGATGGTCATTTGTCTGAAAATGATTTGAAACATTAATCTTGTTTCAATTCTCGTGATGTCCTACAAACATTTTTTTTCAAGTGTCAGTCTCTAAATACCTGAGAGAAGAATGCAAGATTTGAGCCTACAGATTCCATGCCAATGATCTTCACTAAACACGATTCCTCTAGTGACCATCTAGACTAGTGCTGCACTATTTATTTCAAAATTCGGTATTCAATTCTTTGTCAGCTCAAATCTCATACAATCATGTACCTTTGTTTTAGGAAAGAACGAAAGAGACAAATGCTCAAAGAGGGCACCTGTTTTTTCAGGCCATGCTGATGCTTGATTGTTACACACTGAGTTTTGATTTAACCATGACACTGATTCTAGTGGCTTAGTTGACTCGGTCCATAACCCATATTACAGACACATAAATAAATTTTATCATTTTATACCATGAAATGCCACAGAGTAACCCCAACCTCATTAGGGGTGTGCCTAAGAGGCAAGGGCCAAGTTTTACTGAATGAGGATGGATACAGAGCAAGTACAAGCCCTTGGCAGTTTTCAACATACACACTTCAATCACTAGCTGGCTACATCTACATGAAGCTGCACCCNCCAATGATCTGCACTAAACATGATTCCTCTAGTGACCTTCTAGACTAGTACTGCACTATTTATTTCAAAATTCGGTATTCAATTCTTTGTCAGCTCAAATCTCATGCAATCATGTACCTTTGTTTTGGGAAAGAAGGAAAGGGACAAATACTCAAAGAGAGCACCTGTTTTCTCAGGCCACACTGATGCTTGATGGTCACACACTGAGTTTTGATTTAACCATGACACTGATTCTAGTAGCTTAGTTGACTTGGTCCATAACCCATATTACAGACACATAAATAAATTTTATTATTTTATACCATGAAATGCCACAGAGTAACCCCAACCTCATTAGGGGTGTGCTTAAGAGGCAAGGGCCAAGTTTTACTGAATGAGGATGGATACAGAGCAAGTGCAAGCCCTTGGCAGTTTTCAACATACACACTTCAATCACTAGCTGGCTACATCTACATGAAGCTGCACCCACAGTAATCGCCTTGCCTCCCTGGCCAAATTTCCAATTGTAAGTCAATAGAACCACCAAATCATTGCACAAGGCCTTTAAGAGATAACCCACAATATGTTATGATATCTGGTATATGCAGGATAGGGGTGCTACTAGAAAACAATTGATGTGAGGGTGGTGCAAATAGAAGTGTGATCCAACACCAGCATTCTGCAGCATTTTTTATGTTGCTTTCCTCCCAGTCGCCATCCAGATAAAGATGACCAAAATCTTATTAATTTTATCATCAAACAAAATTCAGGAAAATTTCCCAAGCCTACCCCAACTTCCTTAGTGCCAAAAAGAAGCAACAAAACTATTATCACCAGTGAATTCTACAGCACCTTCACACCTGTTCAATCCCCCACCCCCAACGGCCAAAGTAAACGTGTATGCAAAATTTGCAAAAATTGTATGTATTTGACATATGATAACATTATTGTAATAGAGTAAGTCATCCATGTTAACAACTTAACTGACCAAAAAAAGACCCTCAAAGCACTGAAATACTTCTAACCTCCCTGCCTTGTATGTAACGCGAATACCACCCCCTCCCCCGTCACCTTCTCCCCACTGTGTACTGTTCAGAATGGCCAATATCATACAGATACCTCCAAATCCAACCAGATCCACATGATAGCCCGCCTTTGCGCATGAAAGTGCATGGTACTGCATACGAGGACTTCTACCAATGTCTCCAAGTACCAGGATACAAATCCTTGGTTTAGATAGATCCTTCCGTCCTCTGAGCCAATACACCAACAAGACTAGCACGATCACAAGTCCCGTTAACACTGTCGCCAAATACATCTGAAAAATTATGTTTGATCGTTTGATCTTGGGCGTATAGACAAAGCGAGACTTCGAAGAAGAAGTGTTCATTAAGAAATATTTCTGTCCAATTGTTGGTTTCTAGCGGTCATAAATTGCACATAAATATTGATTTCTCAAACGATTTCTCCAAAAGAAGTCATTCTGGTCAGCAGAAACTCTCCTAAGGATACGAGCACTATGGAACTGTGGGACATTGCAACCCATAATTATTTTTCTTCACCCACAAACCAACATCACGGTTGAAGTACTGTGGCCAGAAAGTACGGTCGAATTTTGACAGTTTTAAGGATAAGACGCCAAAGAGAAGATGACCTCGTTGGGGGAAACAAAGATTCGTAACGTGGGAGACTATTTTGCAACTAACTTATCCAGAGGAGCCGATCCTTTGTGGAAGGGATGGTGCAGGATATGGAACAGCTACCGTGCCAAGTACGTCACTTGCAAGAATGCCAGACTGACCCCGTTTATTCATGCCTGTGTGTTTGCCATTGCAGTTAATTACTATATGGAGTATCCCCATATAAAAGGTGAGTTTACAGAATAACGTTTGAAATGTGGTCTTGTAAAAAAACTTATATACATGTATTAGTTTATTGCACTGCAATGTAGGCCCTATATAAATGAGCTAAAGTTCTAAGCCAATTATAAGTTTAAAGGCCACAATAGTTCAGCTGATATTTGGTGAATCATACTAAAGAGTTGGATAAAGCTATGTGGTTCTCTGTGCTTTAATAGCAAACCTTTGGCTTTTCACCTCACTGACTGTGATTGAGTAGTGACTGAAAGATTGATTGACTTTGATAATGGAGGGAGTACAACTTATGAAAGTGTGCTCAGAATTTAGCAGGTGAATATGACGAATATGTTAGAGGGAGGCCAATTCTGACTACGAATTTCAAAGTCTGACTACTGGTGCATGATTACTGAGAAGAACCTTCTCTGGGCATGTTTTAGACTTTCAGGGAAGTCCTCCATCTTGTTCATTGATTACCTGCCGGACAAAGGACTTTTCATACTTGATTGATGCCAATTTTAGCGACCCAGAAACGAGTTGCTTAACTTCAACCAATCAGAGTTGCCATGAATATCCCCTTGAGGACAGAACTGTTCAACACATTTTATTATAGACGCAACAAAATGTGACTTGCTTCTGAATTCAACTTGGGTTTGATTGCGAAAGTGATTTTAAAGAAGCTTCAAAGGCTATGGAATATTCTATTTTACATGACTACCAGAACAAGACAGTGAAAGCGTATCAGGGCTGTCATTAAGGGCTGTAACCTATAGCGTCTGCTATGGCTGAGTATGCTTGATTTTCCCTTGATGCTACAGGTGAAATTGCCTGCTGTTAATAGAATTCACCCATAAAGTGACAAATTTGCAATGGCTGTGGAGAATAAGGTTACAGGTGACTAAAAAGTTAATGACAGGCTGCCCTGTTACGGTATATTTTTTGTCCGGAAGAGATGTCTTTGTTTCTGTTCCAAGGGGAGCTGGAAAAAGCTTGACTTTTGAGCTAGCTCTGTATGCTTTTGTTTAAAGGGAGAGAAAAGTANAGACGCAACAAAATGTGACTTGCTTCTGAATTCAACTTGGGTTTGATTGCGAAAGTGATTTTAAAGAAGCTTCAAAGGCTATGGAATATTCTATTTTACATGACTACCAGAACAAAACAGTGAAAGCGTATCAGGGCTGTCATTAAGGGCTGTAACCTATAGCATCTGCTATGGCTGAGTATGCTTGATTTTCCCTTGATGCCACAGGTGAAATTACCTGCTGTTAATAGAATTCACCCATAAAGTAACAAATTTGCAATGGCTGTGGAGAATAAGGTTACAGGTGACTAAAAAGTGAGTGACAGGCTGCCCTGTTACAGTATATTTTTTGTCCGGAAGAGATGTCTTTGTTTCTGCTCTAAGGGGAGCTGGAAAAAGCTTGACTTTTGAGCTAGCTCTGTATGCTTTTGTTTAAAGGGAGAGAAAAGCAATGCTGTCGTCTTGGTGGTGCAGGGGTGGATCAGGGGCCCGTTTCTCAAAGGTCCGAAAAGTTTTTGCATCCAGAATGCCATAGCAAAATCTCAAACCTTATGATTACAGAGCTGTTTTATTTACATATTCTTAATATATATTCTTAATATGGCCNTTCTTTACATTTTGGTACACATTAGGTCTTTCCTAGATATCTTGCCAAATTTCAATTTTCTACAAACATTAAAACTCGTGGTTTTTGGACCTTAATTTGCGAGAATTTACGGCTGCCATTAATTTTCCTTGTTCCAAGTCTTGGTTGAAAATTTGAGAAAATGACGTCATTTTCTCAAAAATAGCGCACGGATTGAGATTATGATAACAATTAATGTAAAAAATTGCACAAATATATGAGCCAAAGTTTTTGTTACCCTTTATGCGAATTGCTGTGCTAATTGTTATTATCATTTCAACCTGTGTGGTATTTTTGAGAAAATGATGTCATTTTCTCAAATTCTCAACCAAGACTTGGAACAAGGAAAATTAATGGCAGCCGTAAGTTCTTGGAAATAAAGGTCCAAACGACATGAGTTCTAATGTTCGTAATAGATTGAAATTTGGCAAGAAATCTAGGAAAGACCTATTTTGTGTGAAAATGTAAAAAAATGGGTATGGAGAATTTGATCATAGTGGCACTTTAAGGGTGTTAATTTCAGGAATGTGATGTACATACAGTATTACCAGTATGACAAACACTACACTACACAAAAATGCAAATGACTGTGAACATTTCCTAAGATGTCAGAGTAAAATTCATATCCTCTCACTGAAAAACGTCAAGCGTGTAATTTGTGAACATACTTGTATTTGTAACGCAAGGCAGTCACCCCACAATGTGTCATGTTTGCTTAGTTTATGACCTCACCTGATTCCCCAGTGTTCCCATAAATCTCTCTTCATTGCCTGAGTTACACACAGATTACTTGATGACATGCCACCAAAAAAGAATTCATACCTGCAAACAAAAAATGTGTCAGTGACCAGTAATAAATACATCATTCATATCATACCAAGAGGGTATACAGGCACTATATATTATTAGTGAAATGGGTTCCCAGGGGATAAGTACAGAGTAGAAGGAGGACTCGAGGGCATCCTAGGTTTCCTGTACATGTACATTGCAGGGAGTCAGAGTATAATATGGCTTATTCCCAAGGACACTGTATAATTTGCATAGACATAGAGGAGGTAATGGCCACTGGTTCATCCCATTGGGTGGAAACAAACAAGAATTAAAATGTAGTGCTAAATGGGATCTTCATTTGCTTTGTAGTAATTAACTTAATTATCCACAGTAATTACAGTTTAGTTTTTTAACTACGTTAGTCAGGGTCATTTCTGGTCAATTCTAGAATGTTAAGCCAGCTTTTAGAAAAATACATGTACAGGTAACATCTCCTTTATGGACAGAAATTTATTAAAAATGCTGACCATTGCTTAAAGATATACACCTCTTCTTTTGCCAGTCAGAAACCTACCATTTAGCTATCTTCACCAGCAGATGTTGGGGATTTTTCACTCCAAGAGCCAGTATAGTAAAACCATAGTTGTGCCAGTCAATAACAAATTGGCTGCCACACAACAGACTTGTAAACCAGGCTGCTGCCAAGGATGGAATAGCTGGAGGATTCTGATATAAATATATGAAAATTCTAGATCTGAATCTTATGGATTTATAAAATACTTAATTATTTCAGCAGCTCTGTGTTGGTTTGGGTACACAGTTTTGGGCTACTTTTTTTTAATTACAACTCAAACTACCTCCTGCCCCATCCACACATGCACCTCACAAACAAAACTATTATGTTCAAGTGCTGTAAATTAAATGCTAATGTCAAATCAAACTGCTTAATTAAATACATGTGTGCATATTTGTACTACTTAAATCAACAAGTTATTTTAAATAGCATTCAGCACTTTGGAATTTAATTACATTGTATATATTAGTGCTATACAAATTTATTCATGTTAAAATATTGCATTGCAATAAGCACGTGCACATTTTTGCTACACAAATGAGAATACCGGTAGTTCATATAGTGTGATAGTCCACCTGAGGGTAGTTCTGAAAAGAACTGTTGCTGGATGGACTGATGTTTGATTGGTCTATTGTTAGTCAAATTAAGTTGGTCTGTTAGAGGTCCATTTGCCAGTTTCATTTATGTCGTGAATTACTCATTTGTAAGGTGCCAGTAGTTGTTAAGAGGCATTTGTTCTAAGTTAGTGTACCAGCTTTCCAGAGTCAGACACTGAAAATAGTTTGTACTGTAGGTTGAGCACTGAGCAGAGTCCCAGGCAATGCTGTGGTTTGTTAGTTAATGATGTACAGCAATGTGATTGTAGACATCACACTTTCTCGTGGCTTATTTGTGTTCAGTCAGTCTCATGTTAAGGTTTCTGCCAGTCTTACCAATGTAGGAAGCCTGGCAGTTGGAGCATTTGATCTTGACATAAGAATATCACAATAGGCTGTCACTCACCTGAACTAATATATGTGTGCACTGTGATCCACAGTGAAGAAGAATTACAAAGAGCTGTAGAAACTGGATGATTGCTTTTGTAACATAAAATAGCAGTCTGGGCAAACCTATAATGAAAAAATAAAAATTACTAATGGAAAATGCATTTTTAAAACTGTTAATCTGTTCATTTTTATTAAGAAATTCAGTTCTAATCCAGACAAGAAAAGTACTCAATTCAAAGCCATTATCAGTTGCTACCTTGGGCAGTTTCTAAGTTCAAAATTTGAAAATTTGCACAGGATGCTATTGCCTTGCAGTTGCAGTGGGCCCTGCCAGGTGTATGTACATGTTCTAGGTACCCACTTGAAAGCATGCTCTATGCTCTCCAAGCCAAGGAGAAAACAGACAGAGTTTTAAAACTTTAAATCCACAAATGATCCCTGAGCAGCAAAACAAAAACACTACATTGTTTGTTATGTAACTTATGTAACTTATAATATATTCATTGAAAGCAGTTCAGGACTTCAGGAGTGATTCATCATTTTATTGCTACAGTCCTGTTTTGTATGGTTAAAGAGTGACCACACTCATCAGGCAACATCAACAAATGACCCGTAAATTTAAATGCTGGTGGTGAATCACTCCTAAAGTCCTCAACTGGTTTCAATGAATAGACACTTCTCTAGGAGTTCTGCTTACCTCTAAACAATTCTGGAAATTCTGGCAATGTATTTATGGTGACTTTTTCACTTTCTGCTAGTTCCTTGATGGGATTGGATCCTGAATAATGATTTAAATACATGAAGTGAAAGAACACAAAAAATTACCAATCAAAATTGTAAAAAAGTGACAAAAAGAAGTAAGAATTTTCCTTCTAAAAGAAACTTTTCAAAGAATAGAATACTGCTAGGGAAATATAACAGGTTAGCATTATCATCTGCTTTATTTGTAGTAACCCTTGCATTGTATAGTCAATTGGATGGTCATTTGTCTGAAAACGATTTGAAACATTAATCTTGTTTCAATTCTTATGATGTCCTGCAAACATTTTTTTCAAGTGCCAGTTTCTAAATACCTGAGAGAAGAATGCAAGATTTGAGCCTACAGATTCCGTGCCAATGATCTGCACTAAACATGATTCCTCTAGTGACCTTCTAGACTAGTACTGCACTATTTATTTCAAAATTCGGTATTCAATTCTTTGTCAGCTCAAATCTCATGCAATCATGTACCTTTGTTTTGGGAAAGAAGGAAAGGGACAAATACTCAAAGAGAGCACCTGTTTTCTCAGGCCACACTGATGCTTGATGGTCACACACTGAGTTTTGATTTAACCATGACACTGATTCTAGTAGCTTAGTTGACTTGGTCCATAACCCATATTACAGACACATAAATAAATTTTATTATTTTATACCATGAAATGCCACAGAGTAACCCCAACCTCATTAGGGGTGTGCTTAAGAGGCAAGGGCCAAGTTTTACTGAATGAGGATGGATACAGAGCAAGTGCAAGCCCTTGGCAGTTTTCAACATACACACTTCAATCACTAGCTGGCTACATCTACATGAAGCTGCACCCACAGTAATCGCCTTGCCTCCCTGGCCAAATTTCCAATTGTAAGTCAATAGAACCACCAAATCATTGCACAAGGCCTTTAAGAGATAACCCACAATATGTTATGATATCTGGTATATGCAGGATAGGGGTGCTACTAGAAAACAATTGATGTGAGGGTGGTGCAAATAGAAGTGTGATCCAACACCAGCATTCTGCAGCATTTTTTATGTTGCTTTCCTCCCAGTCGCCATCCAGATAAAGATGACCAAAATCTTATTAATTTTATCATCAAACAAAATTCAGGAAAATTTCCCAAGCCTACCCCAACTTCCTTGGTGCCAAAAAGAAGCAACAAAACTATTATCACCAGTGAATTCTACAGCACCTTCACACCTGTTCAATCCCCCACCCCCAACGGCCAAAGTAAACGTGTATGCAAAATTTGCAAAAATTGTATGTATTTGACATATGATAACATTATTGTAATAGAGTAAGTCATCCATGTTAACAACTTAACTGACCAAAAAAAGACCCTCAAAGCACTGAAATACTTCTAACCTCCCTGCCTTGTATGTAACGCGAATACCACCCCCTCCCCCGTCACCTTCTCCCCACTGTGTACTGTTCAGAATGGCCAATATCATACAGATACCTCCAAATCCAACCAGATCCACATGATAGCCCGCCTTTGCGCATGAAAGTGCATGGTACTGCATACGAGGACTTCTACCAATGTCTCCAAGTACCAGGATACAAATCCTTGGTTTAGATAGATCCTTCCGTCCTCTGAGCCAATACACCAACAAGACTAGCACGATCACAAGTCCCGTTAACACTGTCGCCAAATACATCTGAAAAATTATGTTTGATCGTTTGATCTTGGGCGTATAGACAAAGCGAGACTTCGAAGAAGAAGTGTTCATTAAGAAATATTTCTGTCCAATTGTTGGTTTCTAGCGGTCATAAATTGCACATAAATATTGATTTCTCAAACGATTTCTCCAAAAGAAGTCATTCTGGTCAGCAGAAACTCTCCTAAGGATACGAGCACTATGGAACTGTGGGACATTGCAACCCATAATTATTTTTCTTCACCCACAAACCAACATCACGGTTGAAGTACTGTGGCCAGAAAGTACGGTCGAATTTTGACAGTTTTAAGGATAAGACGCCAAAGAGAAGATGACCTCGTTGGGGGAAACAAAGATTCGTAACGTGGGAGACTATTTTGCAACTAACTTATCCAGAGGAGCCGATCCTTTGTGGAAGGGATGGTGCAGGATATGGAACAGCTACCGTGCCAAGTACGTCACTTGCAAGAATGCCAGACTGACCCCGTTTATTCATGCCTGTGTGTTTGCCATTGCAGTTAATTACTATATGGAGTATCCCCATATAAAAGGTGAGTTTACAGAATAACGTTTGAAATGTGGTCTTGTAAAAAAACTTATATACATGTATTAGTTTATTGCACTGCAATGTAGGCCCTATATAAATGAGCTAAAGTTCTAAGCCAATTATAAGTTTAAAGGCCACAATAGTTCAGCTGATATTTGGTGAATCATACTAAAGAGTTGGATAAAGCTATGTGGTTCTCTGTGCTTTAATAGCAAACCTTTGGCTTTTCACCTCACTGACTGTGATTGAGTAGTGACTGAAAGATTGATTGACTTTGATAATGGAGGGAGTACAACTTATGAAAGTGTGCTCAGAATTTAGCAGGTGAATATGACGAATATGTTAGAGGGAGGCCAATTCTGACTACGAATTTCAAAGTCTGACTACTGGTGCATGATTACTGAGAAGAACCTTCTCTGGGCATGTTTTAGACTTTCAGGGAAGTCCTCCATCTTGTTCATTGATTACCTGCCGGACAAAGGACTTTTCATACTTGATTGATGCCAATTTTAGCGACCCAGAAACGAGTTGCTTAACTTCAACCAATCAGAGTTGCCATGAATATCCCCTTGAGGACAGAACTGTTCAACACATTTTATTATAGACGCAACAAAATGTGACTTGCTTCTGAATTCAACTTGGGTTTGATTGCGAAAGTGATTTTAAAGAAGCTTCAAAGGCTATGGAATATTCTATTTTACATGACTACCAGAACAAGACAGTGAAAGCGTATCAGGGCTGTCATTAAGGGCTGTAACCTATAGCGTCTGCTATGGCTGAGTATGCTTGATTTTCCCTTGATGCTACAGGTGAAATTGCCTGCTGTTAATAGAATTCACCCATAAAGTGACAAATTTGCAATGGCTGTGGAGAATAAGGTTACAGGTGACTAAAAAGTTAATGACAGGCTGCCCTGTTACGGTATATTTTTTGTCCGGAAGAGATGTCTTTGTTTCTGTTCCAAGGGGAGCTGGAAAAAGCTTGACTTTTGAGCTAGCTCTGTATGCTTTTGTTTAAAGGGAGAGAAAAGTAATGCTGTCGTCTTGGTGGTGCTTCCGCTGATTTCACTCATAAAAGATCAGGGGCCCGTTTCTCAAAGGTCCCGAAAAGTTTTTGCATCCAGAATGCCGTAGTAAAATCTCAAACCTTATGATTACAGAGCTGTTTTATTTACATATTCTTAATATATATTCTTAATATGGCCAGAAGTTCTTTTCATACAAGGTATACACCCCTCTGTTTTTAGATACAGATTAATTAAAAATGGCTTTGCAGGCCTGAAAAGTTTCTGGGGCTTTCGAGAAACAGGCCCTAGGTCTCAAACCTAGATTCCCGAGGCATTTTAGCATCTTACCTAGAACTGTGGTTTCATGCTTATATATGCGTATCTTCATCACTGGAGATCTCCTTTCTGACAAATAACTCAAGATTTAAATAAGCTTTGGTCTCTTTTTGCCTGTCTGATATACTGGTAGTCGACTTTTGTTTAAAATCTTTGTTCGTAATGACTTTAGTACAGAGTAAACAAATTTGGTCTTTAGACACAGGAGAAGCAGATTCATGTTCATTTGTTTCGATTCTGGTAAAGTCTCCCAAATGTAATCTGAAACACCAGTTGCAAGTCATGCCACTCATCATTTTTGGCGTGAAATGTAGATGAAGACCCTTCAAGCAAGACAAGCTGACCTCTCTCGACTTTGTCGCTTGCTTGGGCCCTTCACGGCCTAAAACAGCGAAGCTCACTTAACCACATGTAGTATTCTACCCTAAAATTCATGAGGTCGACCTGTGGCAAGTCTAGGCATGTTTAAAACATGAAATGGCAACATGGCACTATCATTAGCCTAAATAGTCCTCTAGTTCAGGTTAGCCTAAGTAGTGTTCAGGTTAACCTAAATATCACTGACACAACAATGGGTAGCTCTCAGTAATTGTTAAGGTTAATCCTTACAGACACCTGTATCCCACAGGTAAGAGTCGATGTGGGATGTGAGTGCGACTGTCTCTGTAAGGGTCAACTCTTACAATAATTATTGAGAAATATCCACTGTCGAGTCAGTGATATTATTTTAGGCCAACCTGAGCACTATTAAGCCTAACTGCACTGCCATTTCGTCATTTCATGTTTTAAACACGTTCACTTTCTCTTATTGTCCACAATGCCATACACGGTTCTGACTAGTCTCAAGTGGGACAAAACAGCTGTCCATTGCTAGGCTTGGATATCTTAGTCTGGAGAGGATCAAATGTGTAAACCTGAGAGTAGAGAGTCCAGTTTTACGATTCAACATGCCATGTTTACTCGAATAAGTGTGCGGCACTCATTTTTTTTACACCCCAAATGTTGCTCTTATTTGAAGGTGGTGCTAATTTGAAGATGCCGTTTATTTAAAAATCAGACATGACAAAGAAATCTGTTCTTTTTATTATTTTAACTAAACAGGTGATTTTCAGAAGGTGTGCACACTAAACAAAGAAGACACTGCTTTAGTAGCGTATAGAATCTGACTTCCGAAAGAATAGGCAGTCAGACGTGGCTAAAGAACAAAGCTCTTTGTCAGATATGATTTTAATTTTTTCTTTTTAAAAAAACACTCTGATTGCAATCTTACACACAAGTAGAGTAGTCACCTTGGCATGGTTGTTTGCATGAATGTCTGTTAAAACGAAAATTAAACGGTTAACTCATTTTGTGTTTTCCTAGAACATTCCATGCAGAGGAAGTATCACTGAAGAACTGTTTCAATTGACTGCCCTGGTGTTTGTGTCGTTATATTGATGAAAAAGTAGCTTCTTTGAAAGAACGTACCCAGTTCAAGACTAGAGTGCAAAAACCACACTTTATTTATGACCAAAATGGCCAAAATCGATACCCAACTGATGACCAAAATGGCTGAAAAACCATACCCTTTGGGGCCGCACGTACTAATATAGCCCATATAAGGAAGTACTCCCCTTTCGGGGTTGCAGAAAGAGGCACAAGAAAGTATCCTGCCTTGTTGTCTTCGCCTTCTGATTCGAAATCTCGTGACTTCACTGCGAACACCTGCAACGTAAACATGACACTGCTTGCAGACTGTAACATGATAGATTGTTCAGAGTGTAAGTTTAGTTTCCAGATGTTCAGTTACGTTATTCTATTGTGTGGATCCTGAAAACTTTGCGAGTAAAGATAGTTTCAGACACACTGTTATATAAGTTAAAATCAGCGAAAATGCTGCCCGACAACTCATGAAAACTGAGATTTGTTTATCGGAAACGCGTTCGCATAATGCAAGACCAATGTTGCAACAATCTTATACTGGACGTTGTGCACCTTTGACATTTTACGCCAGCTTGTAAAGGCGTCTCCGTCTTGCGCGCAACTAATAGAGATAGATACTTATTAATAAACTTTATTTATTCTTGGCTTTACATAAGGATTGCTAAGCCTCCAGCTTGTACTGCTAATAGACCGAGAAAATAAATAAATAAATTAATTAATAAATTCATTGATTAATTAATAAATACACGAAGAGATACATGTAATTCCAAAGATAAATCGCAAAATAACGAGAATCACTATAATTTTGACTCTCCTTTCTGAATTTTAAATGGCCCTTTTTTGTCATTGATCTTAGATTGTCTGGCAAAGCTAGAATTCCATGCCTTACTCTCATCTAAAGAGAGGGATGAGATCAGACCAGCTCTCTCGGTAGCACTGGGGACACCATGCCGAAGTCCCGATGAACAATGACGGAAAACAATGTAGATTTCTTAAATACTCCCTTTGAGTAGGAATAAGTAGCCTGAAACTTATGAAAAAAAAAACCCTAACCAAATCAAATAACCGTCAAATTGTTAATATATTGGGAAGCATTTGCGTGACCCATCCAGAAAACGGCGAAGAAAATTCGCGCAAAAGTGCGTGACAAGCTCATTAAATGCCGGGTTTGAATATTTATACTGTGGAAACAAAGAGTTCATGACCAAGTACGACTGGTTTTCTAAAATTATGTGTTGTTTTCGAAGGTTCGTCCACGCTAAGTTCATAGTGAAGGTTCCGCTCTTTAAATTCTTGAGCATCTTCTGTGTTTTCTTTGTTACTTGGAAGTAATTCTTTCTTCTTTATCTCCTTATTTTTAACACAGAACAATATACTTGGAGTTAACGCAGCCGCAGCAAATGCACCCCCGACCATGTAGAATGCGGGCCCGTATGATCCAAGTTTGTCAGCGGTCAGACCTGACAAATGAAATGGTGAAGTCAGTCTATTAGATTAATGAACTACTTTCATTGATGAACCAAGCGGAGTTTATTAGATTCTAAATACTGTTTCTCAGTATCTAACTAGTACCGAGCTTGGAAATCACGAGCTAAATGGAGGATGTTTGAACGAGAAAAAAAAAAAGACAAAATAGGCACTAGATGGATTTGAAAAACCACCAATCACTCCAAGGGCTCTAATTTGAACAAGGGTAAACAGTTTTAAAGATGAAGATGATGCCGTTGTC